TAATATTAAAATGAAATACATTAACCACTATTGAAGTGCATTGTTAAATCTCACACTCAATGATGAATGATTGAGTTCTTGAGAGTGAGAGTATCTCCCTTAGCTCTATCCCCAGTACTTCTTGTTAAGTGAGTCTCAGTCAGTAAACCTATTTCTATGTCGTTATGAGTAAAAAAAATCTCGAGTTCATTTTTACGAGATAATACACCGTTGGAATTCCAAAGACAGTTAGTACTTTCATTTGGTAAACTTTGGAAGAACATACTGTACCAGCGATGTAAGCAATGATATCAGGGGCTAAACAAGGTATTTGAATTCGTTTATAAAGTTTGTCAGTTTTGTTGTAATGTAATTTGGTCTCGGCAATTTATATGAGTAAGTTGGTTCTGTATCAATGCTCTGTGTCTGTACATAGTCGCGTAGTAGTTGTAACGGTGGCTCAAGGTTACCTGCTGAATTTTGGACGATTTTCAAGGAGTCTTCTTTTTCTTTCTTAGTAGGCTGACTCGTCCCCTGTTCCTCATAAAATGCAAGAATTCTCGTTGCTGGACACTGCCTACGTTTCTTTTATTCCTTGTGAACAGAGCAGCCTCTATAATTCGCTGGTATGCTTCATCACAAAGGACACATTTAGACGGAGTGTGAAGTTTTATGCAGGTCTAGAGGTTTTATGCAGCTCGCTGGCAGATGTAATCCAGCAAACTTCATACATCTCGGCTTCAAATTGCAATATGATTTTGAGTGTCCGTAGGAAGGTCATCGACGATTGCTTGCATTGGACGATTCTTTTGCGTCTTTTCGGTTCTTCAACTTTGTATTTTGTACAATAAACTATTTTTTTACAATAGAGAAATTCTAATGAAAAAAATTGGGAACTCTGGTCATTTTTCACTAAATCGACAGGAAATATATGCAAAGGCGCTTTTGTTCTAGGATGGAGAATATTAGTAAGCCTAATAGATAGATAGATAGATAGAAAAAAAAACTTTATTCTGGGACTAAGTCCCTTCAGAATAACAATAATGTACAAAATAATAGAATATTACTGGCCTAAACGTTTGAAACAATAAATAAAATAAAAAGTAAAGAAAACCTTAGGTGCACAAGCTATATACAATGCAGATAAAACTATGTACAGAGCATTTAAAATTATGAACAAAACAATTAAAACTATGAACGAATCACTTGAACTATGAACAAAATTATATATAAGGGTTGAACAACATAAACATACACTTTGAGAAATGAAGAACGAAAAAGAGATACAATGAGTTCATTTCATAAAAAAAAAAAATTTACTTGAATATATATATATATATATATATATATATATATATATATATATATATATATATATATATATATATATATATATATATAAATAAACAGTTAATTATAATTGAATAAAAAAAAAGGCATAAGAAGGACGATGATCGGTAATGATTTGATAAAGGAAAGTGCCTAGGAAATATTGTCTTCTTAAGGAGGGGAAGAGCCACCCGAACTCAGTGTAGTGGTGAGAGACACGGGAGCGTCTCGGGGTCCCAATTACAAATCTTACGAAGCTATTCATAAGTCTTTTGAGTCTATCACGGAGTTCCACCGAGAGGACATCGTACACCACACAGCTGTAGTCAAAGTGGGGAAAGATGAGAGAGGAAACTAGGAGTCTACGGGTATTTTGGGGTAGAAGATGGCGGAAGTGATGGAATAGTTTGAGGGTAGAAATTGCACGGCGGGAATAATGAGAGATATGGTGATTCCAGGAAAGGGTTTGATCTAATGAGAAAGCCTAAATTTTTAACAAAGGGATAGAAGGTGATGGGGTGGTTGTTTAGATAGAGTGAGGGAAAGTTGGTGTGGGATCTAAGAAGGGGCTTGGAACCAATGAGAATGGCCTGAGTTTTGGCAGCATTTAGCCTTAATCCATTTAAGTTGGCCCAGGCACTAATTCGATCTAAATCTTCTTGAATTTTGGCAAATGCCACCAATAACTCAGCGGGAGAAAAGGATAAATAGATTTGAGAATCGTCGGAATAAAGGTGGTGGGAACAATGGATAATTGAATGATTTAGGTCATTAATATAAGAGCTGAAAAGAAGAGGAGACATGCTTGAACCCTGTACGACTCCAGAGGATAAAGGAAGGTAGGCAGAAAGAGGTTGATTAGGTATGGAAACTGCTTGGGTTCGTTGTGAGAGTAAAGACTGGAACCAAGAGATGGAACTATTGGAGAGGGATAATGATTTTAATCTGTTGAAAAGGATGGAATGGATAATGGAATCGAAAGCTTTGGAGAAATCAAGAAGTATAAGTATGGTTAGTTTTTTGTCATCTATTGCAGTCTGAATATCACTGGTAATTTTAATCAGAGCAGATTGTGTAGAGTAGCTAGGACGGAAGCCAGATTGGAGAGGATCGAGTTGGTTGGATTGTTCAAGGAAGTTGGAAACTTGGGATTGCACTAACCTTTCTAGGGGTTTAGAAAGATTGGAAAGGATTGATATTGGGCGGAAATCTTCGGGAGAGGATGGATTAGGCTTTTTGTTTAAAGGAAGGACAATGGCTTTTTTCCAAGAGGTCGGGAATATTGAATTCTGCAGGGAGAAATTGTAGATGAAAAGGAGTGCTGGGAGGATTTCAGGGAGACATAATTTTATTAGTTTGATAGGAATGCCATCTGGGCCTACGGAATTGGAACGGGATTTCATTATAACGGTAATAAGGTCTGTGGGAGAAATGTCGGAAAAATAAAAATTATTGTCGTTAAAAGGTACCTCTGGAGAAAAGCCGGAAGGGGAGGGTAAAGAAGAGGTGGAAACCGATATAAAGTGGGAGTTTAGGTCATCAGGTGATATTGGGAAAACTGAGGAAGGGATCTAGAAGGTTCACAGAGGGAAAGCTTATGAAGTAGAAGCCATTTTGATTTGATATCAGGAGCTGAGGAAAGGGCTTCATGAAAGTAGTTCGCTTTCGCTTGTCGGATCCTTGTCTGTGTCGTGTTACGAAGCACTCTGAATGTTTGATAATCATCTGCAAGCCTAGTCCGTCTAAAGCGTCTGCGTGCAGCGTCGCGTCTCTTCTGCAGATCCTTAATTTCCTGACACATCCAAGGAGCAGGGCGATGACGGAAGGTGGAGGTTTTGAGAGGAGCGTGGGTATTGAGTATATTGAGAAGATTAGTGGTGAGAATATCAACCATGGTGTCGACAGAGGAGCAATGATATATTCCATTCAAATCCAATGTTACTAGATCAGGTAATATTTTTTCTCGAGTAAGGGTATCCAGTTGGCGGAAAGTGATAGTTCGAGGATGGATTGGAGTAGTGCGGATATTATACGTTATTTGTATCAGATCGTGAGATGAAAGAATGGATACTGGCAATTGAGACGCGGAGAGGAGGTTTTGTGCTGAGTCGATGATATAGAAGTCTGGCCAAGTGTCAGATCTGCTGGTGTGGTGGGTGGAGGAAAAAGTAACGATGAATAGGTGAAGTGAGAAAAACAGATTTTCTAAATAGGATTTGTCATTGGAGTTTGAGAGGAAATTGGTATTGAGGTCATCGGAGATAATTATTCTGGGATAGAGGGGAACGAAGTTGAATAGGGTTGATTCGAAGGACGGGTCAAATGGCACGAGAGGAGGGCGATATACCACGGCGTAAAGGATAGGAGAAGTATTACTGAGAATTTCTACTAAGAGGTATTCTACATGAGGATGATCTGAAGGTGGGGAGCAATCGAGGATTCGGGTCTTTAGGCTATTGTGGACAAACATGGCTAATCCCCCGCCAGTCCGGTTTACCCGGTCATGACGGAGCAAGATGTAATTAGGCAAGGATAATGAAAATGATGGAATATAGGGTTTGAGCCAGGTTTCGGCTTATATATGGTAAAACTATCCTTCTAGTTCAATATTTATTATATAACAACCTATAGTATGATGTAAGTATCTTATAACGACGCGAAAAGCGTGGTTCTCAGGAAGTTGATAGGTGTGGAGCTCTGCCTATCTATCATTAAGGTACTTGGATATTCGTCGGTAGTAACCTGGAGAATTCGACATTATAACTGCATTATGACCTTCAGATTTCAAAGCGAACCCGTTTGAGCCAACCTCTTTGACTAGCTCTTAGCATAAAAGTTTGTAGTTACTCACTGATTTAACGTAGATCGGCGGAGGTTTCAACATCACTTCTGCACTGGCTCAATTGATTAATCTTATGACATTGAGCATCGACTTCAGTACCTAGTTAGAACAGTAAATGGATTTGATGATTCGAAACTAACCTGTCTCTCTGGTCAGTTGTTGTGTCTTCTCTCGGAGAAACAGGCTTGCGCGGAGACACTAGATTTCGCCCAGCAGTATCATCACTTGGCCCAGCGTTTAAACTTAGTACTTTACCTTTTTCTTTATTCTCCTTGGCCTTGAATGTCTTAGAAATTGTAGTTTTCTTACTGGGTCCAGAAGGGATACTTAACCTTTAACTGCTTGTTGGAGAGCAATCTGGGACCTTATTTCACTTATTTACTCCGATATCACAATTTGGTAAATATATTACAATTTACCTCGAAAAACTCGGTGAAATCACAGAAAAAAAAGACAAAATTTATCACTAATAAATTTCAAAGGACTTTTAAAGCCTAAAAAATGATCGTGTAACTCCCAATAACTTAATTTTTTGTATCCGATACTGGGCATAAATATCTGCAGAACGGTAGCTTATACAAGGATTCTGACAGCAAATTCGAGTTTCTCACACCAAAATTAGTCAAGAGAAACAGTTTTCATCGAAGATATACCCAAATTTTTTTGTTGGGCAGTGCTTTTTGCCCATCAGTTAATGGATGACATCCATTGAATCTCAATATTGTAATTGTATAAACGAGATGAAATACCTTATGATTCTATCCTTTTAAAAATTAAAATCATTATTACAGAATAAATTGAATAAAACCATTATTATAATAAAGATTTGTTTATGCTATCATTTTAACAGGATTGTACGTTTCTCACAAGGAAGGATATATTAAGGTAACAATTTTAATAATAAAAAATATTTATTAATATAATTTTATTGTTGTTTATTTATTTATTTATATATATATATATATATATATATATATATATATATATATATATATATATATATATATATATATAGCATTAAAAAAATTTCTACAGCGATTAGTTTAGGCTACTCTAACTAATTTACTATGGGATACTCTAATTTACTCGAACTCCTATTTATCCCTGCCCTAATAAATAGGAGTTAGAGCAAATCTAAGAATATAAAATAAAATTTTACATTTGATGTGTAAACACACATAAGTTAGTGTTTTTATTGTTATTGCATAAGTGTAGCGTAAGACGATGAGTATGACGTGAACTCATGAGTTACGGAATGGACTTTAATCCGTAACAAATAATAATAATAATAGTAATAATATTAATTTAACTTTTATTTTAATGATTGAGTTTCTTAAATATGCCAATTGGTGAATCATGTATTGTATTGAAACTTCTCATAACTCAAAGGGTAAAAGCACAAAGCTATCCCTAGATAGCCAGGTCAAGCTATCTGTGATAGCTTAGAAATAGTTATCTATAATGTACCGACCGGACAGAAGACCCATTATCAAGACTTAGCGAACAATAACAGATTTCAGCAAAAAGTCTCTGTCTCACAGACTTCATATCAATTCTAAAAGATAAGGATACCAATTCTCAATAGTTAATAACTTCTCTCATGCTTCCTTTGCCGTCCTCTTCCGACTTCCCTTCGCTCCCCCCTCCTCAGTTCGAGCTTCTAAAAAAATGAGATATCAAAATCAATGAACAAAAAAATATTTTTTTTCGAAACGGACGCCTCTGACTTTTCGATCTCAGCAGTGCTCTTCCAATCCGGCCAACCCGAGGCATTATCTTTCAAAAACTCAAAAAATGTATTTATCACCTCTTATAAACCATTATCTTCAGTTAGTTATGCATCTTTTAAAGAACAGAAGTTATAATTTTTTTTTCTTTATTAGTTAAGAATGTTAGCATCTACGATTAATTTAATTACTATATTAATATTCTATTCAAATAGCGAAGATTTTATTTCACCTTTTCCTATTTATTTTTAAAATCTTTTTTTTTTATAACTACGTGTATATGTAGAATTTACTTTTTTACATTCACTTACGTATATATGTAATATATAGTAAGGGTAAGTATTGCGATCGCGAAAATTTTCGAATCTCAGTTTTCAACGGAAGTGCATGTTTTGAGGTCCCCTGAGTTCAAATAACCAACTATCGCAAAATGGTCTCTGTGTGTGTCCGTGTGTTAACAGTCTAGCTCATAAACGAAACGTAGTACGAAACTGATATTAAGTATTTAAGGTTTGTATATGGGCCGGATGTGACGGCAACTTTTTCGTTAAAACCGGCTAACCGGAAGTGCCACTTTATATGAACGCTGAAACACATTTTTACAATTTTCTCAAAAACAGCTCAAACGATTTTGATCAAACTCGGTGTTTCATTGTATAATTAAGTAGTCTTTAATATCATTTAGGTCTTATCCCCGTTGATGTCACTTTACAGGGCCTAAATGCCCATTGTTCATATATGTCTTCCTCTAAAGTACCTTTAAAATGGTTTATTTTAAAAGGTAAACCATTTCGCATTATTTAGAGTTACGAAAAAATGCTACATATAACTTTGGAAAGAATTTGATAAGTTAATAAAGCAGAAAAAAGAATAAATAAAAATGCAGAAAAACTTGCGTTGCTATAGACTGTAGCGCCATATGGTTTTTAAAAGTTTATGGGATTTCCTAAAAAAAAAAAAAAAAAAAAATCGTTAAGATCGAACAATTAGGAGGAAAGATATGGTCTATAGTTTTTTTCCCTGAAGAGGCGAAAATTTGGATAAATTTAAAATATACTTTTTTAATTGTTGTGACTAAAAAAACCTTTTTTCTACAGATATTTAATAAAGTGTCTTTCCTAAGAACATCTTTCATAAGAAATAAGTACCTAAATTTATACCTTTATTCTCAGTTATATATTTCAACACTGCAATCACCACCTCTGGAATCAACTTACTCATTGTCTGCATAGATAACTTTTTCAACTAAAAATATCACTAAAATGACATCACTCAAAAATGTTGAAATTGGAGTTAGTCATTCTGTGGTTTATAAAAGCAAAGAAAGTTGTGTGGTTTATAAAAGAAGATGGAGTGACTAGATTTTTATTGCCTGTCGTTGATATATTAAATAGACATTTTGTAATTATAATAGTCTTAATGACTTTTATCTGTAAGTTCTAAGCTTTAGCTCCGTTTAAAATGCACTTCAAAAAATTTTATAATCGCCCAGCATTGCCAGAAAATAATTTCTATTCAAAGTAGATCGGTAAGTGAAAGTTGTGTGTTGCGCGCACCAGATTTTTTTTTTATTATTTAAAGTAAAAGAAGATATAAATAAAAATCGAAGAGAAGAATGGTTGGAGTGATCAGTCAAAAAAAAAAAAAAAAAAAAAAAATAGTAAAGTATACTTATTTTTATAAATATGCAAATAAAAATAAATATACTTATTTATTTGTAATATATATATATATATATTTACTGATCACTCCGACCATTCTTGTCTTCAATTATTTACTACAATCAACTATCAATCCACAATCATAAATAAAAATTGATTTGAAATTGTACATATTACATATAGTCCGGGAGCCCGTGACAAAAAAGGTGTCGTATTTCGTACTAAGTTTTGTCCTTATAAATTGTCATATCCATAGGCCTAGTGAGAAAAATGCACGTCATCCAGCATATAGCCGCCGGAATACAAAATGGCAGTCAGGTGAAGATTGATAGAGACTATACCTAGATAGGTAGTAAACGTATATATATATATATATATATATATATATATATATATATATATATATATATATATATATATATATATATATATATGTATGTATATATATATAGGGCTTATAGATATAGAAATCTACCAACCCTTTCAATTTACGGTCTTAAGGCATGAAATAATAGTCAGATACTCCTTACCCGTGGATTTCAAGTCAAAATTTTGAATTTATGATTCTTAAGGTTTACATTTTATTTAATTTAATTTATTTTTTCGGTTTTTAATTGATGTCAGTGAAACTATGTGTTCTATTGGTAATAGTTTTATAAATGGAATTGAAGCTGACAAAATTTTTGGCAGAAATCGTTATATTAGTTTTTTCTTTATATTCTATAGTTTCTGTGATATCCGTCCTCGTAATTCACTAACTGTGAAAAAAAGTTGTTTTTACCTCGCATTTTTATATTATTTGACTCACTAACTCTGTATCGTTTCATTTAACGAAGAAGTCGTGAGGAAAATGTTGTTTAATATTAATATAGCATATGTTCATGGTAACCTTTCTTATTAGTTTTTATATTAATATGTTGTTTTGAATTTTCTAAAATTGTATGTTGTTTTATTCATGATTCCACGAAAAATACTGAAGAAAATACTGTAAAATAATTTCAAATATTCGGAATTATTTCATTTACAAAAGTTTGTGAGAATAGCGATAATTAATGTATTTATTCAATAGACACTCACATTGAAGACGGTGTGAAAACTTGTAAGATATGGTGATTTATAATTATAGTTTTCTATAATTATTACCAACGTTAATCTTTAAAAGTCGCCAAATGGATAGACTTTCGTGCGATCTAGTATATATTCAGAATTGCATCTTAATAAGTATAACCACATCATCAATGTGATCATGTATCAGCATTGTGTATTGCGATATTGTCTTTCGAAACGTTGTTATTAAATAATATAATATAAAACGAATTTTTTTTAACCTTGATTATTTATAATAATACAATTCTATTCAAAACTATATTAATAATAATAATACATTCAGTCTCAATTAAGGACAATTACAATGTAGATATAAGAGCACGTTGATAACATATTTACAGAAAATATTAATAAATAAATTAAGCACATAATACATAAAAATAACAACAAAATAAAATATTATAAAGAAAAAAATCAAAAATTTTTTTTTTAATATATTTATGAAATAAACTGGTGGACAGGGTTTGCGACTAAGGGTGGGGGTGATGTGTTTAGACTTGGATTAATTTACTTAGGATGGCATTGTCATTAGCGAATGTTGCTAGCAGGGTATCGAAATGAATAAGAATGTCAGCGGTAAAGAGAATATATAGGACGGAACCCAAGACGCTGTCTTATGGAACACCAGCCTCTATTGAATAACAGGTGGAGAATTTTGTACCAAAGTAAATTTGAAAGGAGTCAGAAGTTAGGGTCGAAGGACTGCGGTAAATGGATTTGCTTTAACTGTAATTCGGCATGCCACGCCCGTTCAACAGCTTACATGTGTCCAAAAATGCATTCGAGCAATACTCCTTACTTTTTAGCGCTAGAGGATATATGTTCAACAGCTCGGAATCCTTGTTGGACAGCGGTTGTTGGTAACGGAATCCGAATCGGTGGATAGTAAAGTTTTAGGATTTGATTCAGTAGAATCTTTTTAAACATTTTGAAAAAAGTGGGAGTACTCTAATGGTTCTATGGGATGTTGTGTTACTGGTAGGTTTTTCTGTTTTTAGGTAAAGGACATTGGTCGAATGTTTCCTAATGGTAGGAAAGGGGGTAATTCTTAAAAAGTAATTGTATATTTATGTGAGAAATATCATGGCTTTGGGTGGAAGTTGTCGAAGGATCTGCGGGATTAGTAGGTCGTATCCAGATAACTTACGAGGAATCATTTTACGTAAAAGGTATTTGATCTCAGAGGGATAATTGCCTTAGGTGGTAAGAAGCGTTGAGATAAATAATGATGAGATTATTTTTTCTATTAGTACGACTCTAAAGGGGTTGTTGGGAATTTCTTGGACAATTTTATGAAGCAATAGAATTAAATCGATTTTTTTCCGTTGAAGCACTGCCCATCGATGGATTTTTTCTGAAAATATTGGTTTGAAATTCTTCAATTTATAACAGTCTGTAACTTTATTTTAGTGAAATATTAAGCCTTATATATTGGGTCACTTATTTTACCTGTAGTCTGCTCTTGTAAAATCTGACATTAAGTTGCCCAACATGTTTTAGCATACATATGCACTGTTTTTGTCATCGGACATATTAGTATTTTTTTATTTTATTAATTTCAAGAATTCAAAAGAAATTCAGAAACCTGGCCACTGACATCGTGCCTAAATCGATGACAGCAGGAAACGTTACTTCAACGGTGATGCTGCCACTGGACACAATAGTGAAGTTGCCGGAGTTGAGGGTACGTGTATAATTGATTGTATGCATAAAGGGCTAGGGCCGCAACTGGGATTTTTCCAGGAGTGGCAAGCTTAATTTTGCCACCCCTTCTTACACCCCCTCCCACCACCCTCCTACCCAATAAACTGTTAAAATGAGACAGTTTTATAACAGTATTTTAGGCAATACATTACAAAAAAAATATCAATTCATCATGATATAAATTCGTTTTATTGACTGAACTAAATTTAAAACAATAAAAAAACAGAATCAATTTTTTTTTACTTAACCTAAAAATATTATTTCGTTCCCTTGAATTCTGTCCATCAGGGATAATTGTCCTCTTTGTCCATCCATAGTTTCGGCCCTGGTTGTTTCTACTTTATTATTAATGTAATAATAATATATATATAGTTTATGAAATTATTATAACAAAACGCTATATTTCTTAATATATTTGAAAACGATGAATTATATGCTGAATGGTGTCCATTTATCAGTTATTTAAAAAACGTAGATTGAAAATAATTTTTTTTTATTAATTTGTTAATTATATGTTAAATCATTATTTGTATTCGTAAAAGATTTTCTTTAAATAAAATAAAAACATATAACTATTTTTATAAAATTTCCACAAAATCACGAAACATAAAACTTTCCTTCTTTCTTTTAAATTCGTAAACTAATGGTTCAAAATAAAAAAGTATGGTTATATTATGAATTCTATAAGTGGTCATTCATTACCCATATATTGTATATTATTCATTAAATAAATATTCTTTGATTTTATTGATCAGGAAATATATTTAAAAAAAATAAAATTAAACTAAAAATACGCTTTTAATGATAATATATTTGCTAAATATTTATTAAATGAATATGTATTTATTTGAGAATAAAATGAAAACAATCAATCAAACGTACCATTTTTTCATTTATTTTAACACTTTTCTAGGAAAATCCATTCAAAAGAAGAATTTGTGAGGTGTTTTCAAAAGACAATACTGGAAATTTAACTTTCGATGAGTTTTTAGACATGTTATCAATATTCAGCGAGGAAGCGCCACGGGATATAAAAGTTTTTTATGCCTTTAAAATATATGGTAAGAATAGAATATTTTTTAAAATTAAATTTCACTCAAAGATGCTTGAGGTTTGAAGATGTAATTATTAATCACATTTTATCTTCTTACCAAATCATCAACATGGTACAAAGTAGATTTTTCAAAATCATATGAAATAAATACTAATACAATTCTTAAAATGGATAGTACGTTACTTAATATGTATATACATATGCTTTTTAAATTCCTTACCAATCTCACCAGGCTCTTATCATTGTTTTGAGTAAATGATTTGCTTGAATAAATGCAGAATTTTACAAAAATATGATAATAGAAAAAGTTATCACTTTGAAGCTACATTAAACATTCACACAATATATACTTACAAATGATAACTTAAATATAGATAAAAGAAAAAGAGTTGTGGAAAGTAAAATAAGAAAATTAACATACATAGGTAAAAAAATAAAATAAATAGAGAGAAACTAAATGAAATTGAAATATATAAAACACATTCACACCTATATACAATATTTACATTCGCCCAGGGGATTCCGAGTCAAGCTTTGTACCACAAATGTGAAAGCCAAGGCAGGACCCCAGGAGATCCCAGTGCTTCTCTCCCAGCCGCGTCACTGGTATTGCAAGCCAGTGGAGACTGATGGAGGGCACTAGAGCAACAGACGCTCAGGACTTGAGAGGAAAATCTGGCCATTGCCAGTACTCCAGTATATACATATTTACAAAAGGTCGCGGGGCCACTGCCATTTTAACCTCTGGGGAGGATTGTAGGGATGGCTGGAGCTAGATAGGGATTGTGCTACAGGATTTGGATGATGAGTGAGTTTCTGGTGAAATTTGGAAAATTTGTCGGGGATTAGGTCAATAACAAATGGGATATGAAGGTCATTATGGAGGGTTTTATTGGTTACATAGAAGGGAGCATCGACTATTGTTCGGAGGACTTTAGACTGAAAGGATTGAATGCGCTTAAAGTTATAAGGGTTTTTTTGACCCCCACAGTTCTAGTCCGTAGGTCCAGATAGGTTTCAGGATTGTCTTGTACATTAGTAGTTCGTTGTCGACTAAAAGTTGAGATTTTCTATTCATTAGTCTATATAACTGTCCGTATCGTCTGTTTAATTGTTGCCTTTTAAGTCTGGTATGTGGGTTCCACGTTAGTCTTTTATCTAGAAGAAAACCAAGATACCGGACTGTGTCTGAGAGAAGAAGTGGTATGGATTTGAAGTAGACTAGTGAACAGGACTTGCACCGAAGGGTAAAAGTGATGTGTTTGGATTTGGATTCATTTACTTGGATGCGTAACTTATTACACCAATGTTCAAAAAGAGAAAGGTGACTTTGTAGGTTTGAGTATGCTGTTATAGGATCTGGATTGGAAGATAGGATGGCTGTGTCATCAGCGAATGTTGCCGGGAGGGTTGCGGGATGAGTAGGAATATCAGCGGTAAACAGAATGTAGAGGATGGGACCCAAGACGCTGCCTTGAGGAGCGCCCAGCTCAATTGAATGGCATTTGGATAATTCTGTACCATAACGAACTCGAAAGGAGCGGTCAGAGAGGTAGGATCAGAGTATTAGATACAAGAACTGGGGTAGGTGGGTTTTGAGCTTGAAGAGTAGTCCGGTGTGCCATACGCGGTCGAAAGCTTGCTCAATGTCCAGGAATACTCACGAGCAATACTCTTTGCTTTCTAAGGCCGAGGATATGTGGTCAACAATTCGGAGTCCTTGTCGAACGGTGGAATGCTGGAAACGAAATCCGAATTGATGGGTAGGAAGGTTTTGTGATTCTATAATGGGTAGGATTCTTTTTAATAGGATATTTTCAAATATTTTTGAAAGGATTGGGAGTAGGCTGATTGGTCTATAGGATGATGTGTTATTGAAAGGTTTGGCTGGTTTCAGGAAAAGGACGATGGTAGAATGTTTCCATAAGAGAGGAAAATGGGTAGTTCTTAGGATGCAGTTGTATATATATGTGAGGAACATGATTGCTTTGGGTGGTAGTTGATTATGGGTCTGTGGGGTTAGAAGGTCGTATTCAGGAGATTTGCGGGAAGATAATTTTTGTTAATGATATATGACCTCAGAAGGATGAACTGCTTTTGGTGGTAGGGAAAGCGTAATTGGTGAGGAGAGGAATTGTTCTACTTTTGCAGTATGGATGGAATGGGATTCAGGATGAGGAGTAAATGTACAGGAGAGGTGTTTGGCGAATTCCTCATCTTTGTCTTCATCAGATGCCGTCCAGGAGCCATCGCTTCAACGGAGGGGATGGGAAATATTTTGGGATTTTAGAATTATTTTTGGTGATATTCCAGAAGGAATTGTCGTGAGCGGAGAGGGAGGTAAGGTAAGAGTTAAAGGATTGGGATTTGAAGTTGGATAATTCTTGCTTGACTTTTTTAGAGTAATAATTTTAGGAACGGCGATCTGTGGGATGTCTGGTGCGTCGCCATAACACTCTGGTACGGCGTTTGGTTTGGATTAACTCGAGGTTTTGTTGAGGTAACTTATTTTTCTTAGGAATTATTGGGGAATGATTAGCGGAGAAAGCAGTCCAGACTGCTTGCTGAATGGTGGTGGTAAAGGAGTGTACGGCATTATCAAGGTCTTCTGGGGTTTTCAGGGTTATTCTGAGGTCAATTTTTTCGGAAAGGATTTGATGGAAGAGTTTCCAGTTGACTGGACCTCTGCTAAAGGAAGGTGGAGATGGTAATAGGAAGGTGGAGAGGAATAGGAGCTAGCGATACTTGGAATATTAATGGACTGTGGTCTGAGGAAAGTTCATAGATGCCTGCAATGGAATAATTGAGGGAACCTAAACCACTGTGGATGAAGAAATCCAGGATATCGGGATTGTTGTTAGGATCAGTGGACCAGTAGGTTGGTCAGGTCGGGGGAACGAGGTAAAACGTTGGGAATTGAGTGCAGACAGCAGTGTTCGGCCGCGAGAATTTGTAGTTCTTGATTCCCATAGTTGATGCTTGGCTTTTAAGTCTGCACCCAGGATGAAATGGTGTTCTAAGGAATTGAGGAAGGAACTGAATTGGGTATTAGAGATGGATTTGTTTGGAGGGCAATACGCTGATGCAAGGGTAATAGGAAATGAGAAGGTTTTGATTATGATAGCTGTTGATTGCAGGAAATCATGGGTAGGTAATGGGAATAGGTGGTGAGAGAGGGATTGGTGTATAATGACTACAGTGCCGGCATGTGCTCTACCGTCAGCATGGTCAGTACGGTATTTGGAGTACTGTGGTATTTTTAAAGTTTGTTTTTTTGGTCAGTCGAGTTTCCGTAATAAGAGCAACATCAACGTTCTTGTCTAGCAGTAGAGCTCTCAGTTCGTCAGTGTGATTTCTAACACCATTGGCATTCCAAAGGAGAATGAATAAGAGTTTGGAGGAAATCATTTAAGGATTTTTTAAAGGAGGGATGAGGTGGGATACTACATTTGTAAGGAGAGATATCAGTGGGGTAACAAGGGATTTGAATTCAGTGAGGAAAGATGCCAACAAACTCGTAAGGTCTGTGGTTTGTGATGGAGGAGGAATATGAGGAATGTGATGTTGATGATGTTGAGGGTTTTGTGCTTTAGGAGGGATAGGATGTTGAAGTTGGGATTGGGGTTGCTGTTGCGGCAGGACCTCACATTTGTCAGTCGGGGTTCTGCCCCCAAGTAACTGGGAAAAAGAAACTTTAGAGTCCACTATTTTTCAACGGATAACTAAATATTAAATTTGAGAATTAACAACAAATGGATATATGAATGAATGAATGAAAACGTGTTTATTATAGTTTTAAAAAATACAAAGTATTATTATTATCGAATTTCACCCTTTCTTGGCTTTTGCCAGAAATATTCACCTCCCCGAACCAAGGTCAAGGGTTAGGCTATAAATTAAAACTATGTTTAAGAACTTCCTGACGATATTCGCTGTGCCTAGGAGAACTGCTTTTTGTCCTTCTTCCAACACTTTCTCTGGCAGTTTCAAATTTTCGACAGAGCGAATGGTATCGTCGTCTGGGATGAGGCCATTGCCGGAAATTACAACTGGACTTGATTCAGTTTGTAAAGTTGACGAAGCTCTTGGCACAAGTCTTGATATTTCGTAATCTTATTATTATTATGTGCAGGCGTAGGGAGGTGGCGGTCCCATCGCCCGGTCATTGCACCGCAACCAGCCACTGGCCCTCCAGGTTGGGGGAACACTTACACGAACACACACACCAAGTACACTTTATACAGCACACTACAACACCTAAACACTACAGACAAAGGTCACCTACAGTACACACCATAGGGTCACCTTCCCTAGGTAGCCGCCCCGGATGGGGGAGCTAGTCAGGATGCTCGGAGGAGGCAGCCCCTCTACCTGACTCGGGGGCAGTGGGCTGATAACCCACCCCCCCCCTAAAGTACCTTATTACGAAACCTCAAAGAGAAGAAGCCGGACTGAATTACGGTAACAGACCCAGGAAACGCCTAAATGACCTAAGAATTGGATTTTGGAACATTTTATCATTACATAGACTAGGAGCACTTCGTGCGCTCCTTGCAGAAGTGGACACATATAGAATCGACATAGCAGCTATCCAAGAGGTCCGATGGATAGGACAGGGAATTATGGAGAAGAAATACCATACACTCTACTATAGCTGCCATGAAAAGCATCACGTCTTCGGTACCGGATTTGTTGTGAGAGGCAGAGCTCGACAGCTAGTGATGCGATTTACTCCCATTAACCAAAGGTTATGCTACATTCGGCTTAGAGGAAAATTTTTTAATTTCTCTCTAATTAACTGCCATGCCCCAACAGAGGTGTCACCTGAGGAGGATAAGGAAACATTTTATGAAGAACTTGGACGCGTGACAGAAAGCTGCCCCAAAAATGATGTTAAAATCATTCTTGGTGACTTTAACGCCCAAGTTGGTAAGGAGGTGGCACTCATGCCGACCATAGGAACCCACAGCTTGCATAAGACCAGTAATGATAATGGGCTACGGATGGTGAACTTTGCTACATTGCACGGACTGGTTGTTGGAACAACTCTTTTTCCTCGAAAGAATATCCACAAAGCAACATGGATCTCTCCAAATGGGCAAACAACATCACAGATAGACCATGTACTCATTAGTGCCCGTCACAAGTCCAACATGATAAATGCAAGATCTTATAGAGGTGCAAATATGGACACGGATCACTATTTGAGCATTGCCGAGGTCAGATCACGAATTTCGCTGATTAAAAACCACCACCAACGACCAAAGAAGAAGATTGATGTAGCTAAACTTAAGGACTCAGACCACCAATATTCGTATCAACAAGCTGTGGAGACGAAACTTAATGAAGATGTAATTAATGACAGCTCTATGGTCGATGAACAGTGGAAGAGATGCAGCAACGCAATGAAACAGGCAGCAGAAGAATCTCTTGGCTACGAGACTAAATCTAGAAGGCCTCCATGGTTTGATGCTGAGTGCCTTCAAGCAGTAAAAGTGAAAAATGAAGCCTACAGAAAGAAGGTTCAGCGTCCCACAAGGCTCTCCCAAGAAACATATCGAAGAAAAAGACGCGAAGAGAAGAGATTATTCCGCGGAAAGAGAAGAGCTTGGGAAAACAAGAACATGGAGGATATAGAGGCATTGCGCGGCCAAAATGAAAGTCGGCTGTTTTTTCAGAGAATAAACGAGGGTAGGGCAGCTTTCAGGCCCAGAGTGACGGCATGCAAAGACACGAATGGATCTCTTTTAAGCCACAAAGATGACGTACTAAGGAGATGGGTACAACATTTTAAAGACGCATTAAACAGAGGAACGGTGCCTGGAGAAGTAGGAGTAATGAAGGAAGACTCCCTGAATTCTATTGAACCCCCGGATGAGGAGGAAATGGAAAATGCCCTGATGAAATTGAAAAATGGAAAGGCGCCAGGCCCGGACGGAATCCAGTCAGAGCTGTTGAAATGTGGAGGTGAAGAACTTAAGAAAGCTCTGCATGATTTAATGCTGACCATCTGGGAGAGGGAAGCTATGCCTACGGAATGGGCAACAGCCATTATCTGCCCAATACATAAGAAAGGAGATCAAACAGAATGCGCTAACTATCGAGGAATCTCACTCCTTTCGTGTGCTTATAAACTGCTCTCTAACATTCTTTTTGAGAGGATTCTTCCGTATTCTGAAAAGGAACTGGGGAAATATCAGGCTGGATTTCGAAGAGGACGCTCAACCACTGATCAACTGTTCTCTCTGAGGATGATCCTAGAAAAGACTATGGAGCATAAGGTAGTCACCCACCATTTATTCCTAGACTTTAAAGCAGCATACGACAGCGTTGATAGAACGCAACTATACTGTGCCTTGGAGGAGCTAAGCATCCCTCAGAAGCTCGTACGCCTAATCAAGATGACCATGGACAGCTCGAGATGTAGAATACGCGTCGGTTCTGACGACTCCGAAGAGTTTAAAGTGAGCAGTGGGGTTAGGCAAGGGGATGCCCTCGCCTGTCTATTGTTCAACTTGGCAGAGGAGAAAGCTGTAAGAGACTCCGGTATTCAGACCAACGATATAATCTTCAATCGCCTGACACAGCTTCTTGGTTTTGCTGATGATATTGACATAATAGGTAGGTCTGAACAGGCTCTCAGAGAAGCGTTTATAGGCCTTGAAGCAGCTGCAAGACCACTTGGTCTAGAAGTCAACGAGAGGAAAACTAAGTATATGAGAGTTGGTGGTGAGGTGGATCTGAACTCTCCATTTGAGGTAGGTTCTTTTAAGTTTGAGAGAGTGAAAAGTTTTATATACCTTGGGTCTGAAATTAATAGCAAAAATGACATGGCTCAAGAAATACAAAGAAGGATCACGGCTGCCAATAGATGTGTCTATGGACTTGGCCGACACTTAAGAAGTAGGTACCTCTCAAAGAAGACCAAGCTGATCATATACAAGACTCTTGTTCGGCCTGTTTTGATATATGGCTCAGAGGCTTGGACGATGACCAAAAACGATGAGATGAAGCTGAGTGTGTTTGAGCGAGGAGTCCTCAGAAGGATTTATGGTCCAGTAAAGGAGGGTGATGTCTGGAGGAAAAGAAAAAATAGGGAGCTCAGTTCTCTCTATGCAGACATCGACGTAGTCACCTATATTAAACTGGCCAGACTAAGATGGGCAGGGCATGTGGCCAGAATGAGCACCGTTGAGATACCCAAGAAAATAATGATGGAGGAGCTGCACCTCGCAAGACGGGTAGGAAGGCCGAGGACGAGGTGGTTGGACAACGTGGCCTATGATGCGAGAACCCTGCTTGGTGTACGGAACTGGAGAGCTGCAGCAGAAGACAGAGCCAACTGGCGGAGGCTCTTGGAGGAGGCCCAGTCTCGGTAACGGGATGTCGTGCCACACATGAATGAATGAATTATTATTATGTTTTTTATTCTCGCTTTTAGGATTCAAAGCTGAAGGTGGGGGACAAGTCCAACCACCTGCAGTTATAATTTTTTTTTTAGATATTTAAAAACTTTCTCTTAATTCTGACTGTATCTAAGATAACCGCTTGCTGAGCCTCTCTTAACACATCCAGGGATAATTTCAAGCCATCCGTACCTGCCACCGTTGACTTTGGGATCAGACCATTGGTTGATATTATTATTGGTGTAACCAATACTCTTTCCAAATGGTACAACTCCTTTAATTCGATCGCCAGTTCTTGGTACTTATGGAGCTTCTCTCCCACGGTTGTGCTTATATTGTTATCGTTTGGAATCGCGATATCAATAAACTTTGCCATCAACATTGGGAGGGGAGGGGCATCCTTGCATCTGATTTTAAGATGGAACAAGAAATATTATAGACGAGGAGCTATCGACCGATTCATTTAACTGAAAGACTTACACATAACCATATTAAATTCTTGAAAAACCTCATCTGAACATACAACTTTGGTCAGTCGGCTGAATACTATTTCTTAATTATAGGAATCAACATAATAACATTAAACTTTGGTTAAGATTAAATATTACGTTAAAATACTTAGGTGTCATTTGGTGTTGTAGTGAAGACAGGAGGGTTTCTCCAAATCTAGGACCCCAAAACATTATATTTATGGTACACTACTATACAATAAAGCTACACTATATTTATGGTAAAGACAGAACCTAAATCTTTTTACTCTCTATAGAATCGTTAGTAACCTATGTACATGGGACTCTGAACTCATAAACAATATCCAATTCTTGTTAATTCCAATTCTTTTGAAATACCTATACGTAAGTACATATACATAAGTATATGCATTTAAATATATTTTTAATTATAATTAAATGTACTATTTAATAATATATTCATTAAAGGAAAAAACAGTATTTTCTTATTTAATTGGAATAAATATTATTAATACATTATTTTTCTAGATTTTGATAACGATAACCACATTGGTAATGAAGATATGTGTACTGCATTAAAGATACTTACAGTAAATGAGCTAAATGCAGAAGAAATGAATCAGGTTTGCAGCAAAGCAATCGAAGAGGCAGATGTTGATGGTGATGGAAAATTATCATACATGGAATTTAATCATGTCATACTAAGATCACCTGAATTTTTTTCAACATTTCATATAAGAATATAATTTGAAATTAGAAATAAATAAATATAAGGGCGAATGTCTGGCAAACAATGACTGATTTTTAAAAATTTAAATTCTTATAAAAATAAGATTGGTACTTCATTCAAACAATAAAATTAAAAATGTAGCTTTTCATTCAGTAACAAGACTGTTTTGTTAGTTATATAATGTTGAATTATTAAATATAATACAGCTCTGGAGTTGAAAAAATGTGTATATAGTTAGGTGAATGAAACAAGCAATTTTGGTGCTTTTGAATTAGAATGGAATTTACCATGAATATTAATTTTTTTTCAAAATCAAATTGTTTCTGTGACTAGCGTGTTTATTCTTCATAAAAATGTAAGAATGTCAATGGATCTATGAAAGTTTTTGATTAGTCTTACTATATTTAGTTGTTAGTAAATATTTTGTATAAAGAATATTTGTAAATATCATAAATGTGAGTTTGCTAATTTATTAAAATATTGCGACACTGTATTTTATCTCTACTTTACACTAGTAACTCTCCTCTTTTTAATTATGTAAACAAATGGGTCTTGTGAATTTAGATCTTCTATTATGGTTTAAAATCCATAAACCTAGCTGTGTTTATTTTATTAATAAATATAATTTACTTTACTAAATACTGAAATGGTATTCTGATGCCTTCTTACATTCTCCCAAGTTTTGTATAAATATTCATATAATAGATCAAGATATAGATTAAGAGATCAAATAGAAAAATATTCATGATAACATCAACATTATAAAATTTATAATTTTGTTTTTTTAGAAATGGCTAAGACCTAAAAACAAAATATAGTCATCGTTAAATTATTCAAGTCAATTAAGTGGGCCTGTAGAACTCAAATACAAAGGTATAAAAAGACTAAAACTTCAACATTATAATACTCATAATTATGTCTAATGATTGCTCAAACAAAAAATCAAAGACTAAATACTTAAAGTTCTATCAATTTATTCACAGCCTAATTTATTAACTGTCTAATTTTGAAGAAAAAAAAATGTTTTCTACTAATGGTGGCATTAAAAAAAAATTCAAGTAGGTGCATGTTTTCTATCTTTATAAAGAAGACTGAATAAATCTTAAAACATTCTCCTTTATTATTATTATTATCTCTTTATTCTCCACATATACAATGGTGTTGATATGTAATAGTTGGGGACCTATTAGGTCAGCCAAAAATTACATTTGTATATTTTCATAATTATCTAATATTTGTGAACTTCCTGACTATACTCGCCGTTCCCAACAACACCGCCTGTTGCATTCTTTCGATCGTCCGAGACGGCAGTTCTAGTTGTCGCAGAGAAGATACAGTTTCTTCCGGTATCAGTCCGTTGCATGAGATTACAATTGGCAGAATTCGGGTTTCCTTTAAATGATATAATTGTTTGATCTCTTCAGCCAATTCTACGTACTTTCTCTTTTTTTCCACTACTACCTTGTGTAGGTTATCATCAGAAGGAACTCCAATCTCTATGATAAACGCAGATTGCTTACCTTTATCTATTATAAGAATGTCTGGTCTATTGTGGGGGATGGTGTGATCCGTCAGGATCGGTTGATCCCAGAACACCTTGACATTGCGCATGGAGTTAATTGGTTCTGGATGGTATTTATAATATGGACAATACTTATCGACGAGTTCCATTTTCTGAGCCATAGCTTGATGCACTACCTTAGCTGCATTGTTGTGTCTCTGCAAGTATTCCTTACCCGCAAGTATTGTGCATCCCGATGTTACATGTTGTATTGATTCAACTGCCTTTTTGCATAAGCGCTCCGGATTCCAGGGCTTCGTAAATTCAAAGCTGTATAATTTATATCTAATGATGCGATAGTTGAAAGGATATTGGAAGTATGGTTTATAATGTAGTTGCGAAGATTATTTTCTTCCTTTCGGCATAAATTCAAGAGGCTGATTAGACCACGCCCTCCCATCTTCCTAGGAACATAGAATCTCACTACAGATGACTTTGGATGCCTCTTCCTTGAAAGCACCAACTGTACTCTAAGAAAACGATCCAACCTTTCTAAATCGGTTTTAGTCCACTTCAGTACCCCAAATGAGTAGGCTAAAGCAGGTATTGCCCAGGTATTCAATGCCCGTATCAAATTATTATTATTATTATTATTTTACTTGTCAACAATTTTACAAAAGGTTTTTTTTTTTGTTTACTTGAGAGGGAGAGAATCAACTCCAACCACCTCAGGTATGTTCAATTTTAATTTCTATTGAATGTTGAGAAAGCTTCTTACAATTCTGGCAGTATTCAGCAGCACCGCTTTCTGAGCTTCCTTTATTACATGAGTTGGGAGGCCCAGCCTGTCAGTAGCTTCCACAGTAGACACCGGTATCAGACCATTGCTGGAGATCACAATGCCCCTAACGGTTACTTTATTAAGTTTATACAAACTTTTTAACTCAGCTGCTAGACCTTGATATTTCCGAATTTTTTCTGCACAGACTGAGTTAATGTTTCCGTCATTTGGCACAGCAATATCTATAATTTCAGCCACCTTAATGTTGCCGTCAATTAACACAATATCAGGTCTGTTGTGGATCACGAGATGGTCTGTTATAAACGATTGATTCCAATATAATTTTAAGCCACCTTTCTGGCAAATACCTTTAGGGCAATATTTATAGTAGGGCATCGAGTCGTTTAATAATTTAATTTTTAGACCAATCGCCTGGTGATAGACTTTGGCAACATCGTCATGTCTTTTTAGGTATTCTGTACCTGCAAGAGCTCCGCAGCCTCCAGTTATGTGTTGAATGGATTCATATGTGCTTGCACAGAGCCTACATTTGTCCGATACATTCTGTTGCTTCAAGACGTGTCGCCAGTAGGATCTGGTAGCTATAACCTGGTCCTGGATTGCAGTTAAAAAACCTTCAGTCTCGGGGAACAGACTTCCTCCTACCAGCCAGCTAACAGACAAAGATTTATCTATTTCAGTCTGCTGAAGCTGGTGAAAAAACCTTCCATGTAATGCTTTTGACTTCCATTCTTCCAGGCGGTCTTTGTCAGTAATAAAGATTGGCGCAGTTTCATGAGAGGCTAATTGTAGAGCAGTGTGCCCGCGATCGAGATTGCAGATTATCTTATTGCACGGCACTGCGCTTTGTTTAAAGTACTCCCTTAGGTTCTTTTCTTGACTTCGACAAGACTCTTCAATATTTGTAAGACCTCTCCCTCCTTCCTTTCTTGGCAGGTAAAGCCTTGCCATAGATGCAGTCGGGTGATGCATTCTGGAACCCGTCATACTTGTTCTTATTAACCTATCCAATTCCTGGAGTGACGTTGTGGACCATTTTAGAATTCCAAAGCTGTAAGATAAGGAAGGAATAACCCATGTATTTATAGCTTTTATCATTAAACCTGAAGAAAGATGTGTTCTAAGGATGATCTTTAGTCTTTTTTTAAATGAACCTATCAATTTACATTTTACATCCTTTCTAGCTATTTTTAAATGCTGTTCTATTCCTAGATATTTATACATATCTTCTTTCTGAAGGTTCTTAATATGATATTCTTCATTAAACAAGTTTTCGGAATTATTCGGTTTTCCTTTTATAACGTGAAGAACTGCGCATTTCTCAGTCCCAAGGGACATCTGTATGGAGTCACTAAAGTGGCTGACTGTCTTTAGCATAAACTGGAGCTGGGATTTATTCTTTGCGTAGAGTTTTAAATCGTCCATATAAAAGCTATGACTGATCATTGCACTTAATTCATTAAATTTTACTTTGTATCCATTTTCTTCACGATTTAATAAAATTGACAATGGAGCCATCGCAAGACAAAACCAAAGGGGGCTGAGGCAGTCTCCCTGGTATATACCTCTTGAAACGGTAATGTATTCAGGTGATTGCTTATCTCCTATTCTCAGTCTTGTTTTCCAGTTGTCCATCAATTTCCTCAGAAGTTCTTTAATATAAGGATGGATTTTATATAAATCCAGAACTTTTATAAGCCAACTATGAGGAACTGAGTCAAATGCTTTTTTGTAATCAACCCAGGCTATTGACAAATTTCTTTTATTCATGGTCGTCTGGCCTGCAACGAATGAATCGATGAGCAAAAGTTCTTTACACCCTTGGGGTCCTTTTCTACAGCCAAGTTGCTCGAGTGGAATCAAATTATTGGTTTGCAAGTGAAATTCAATTTTACTTGTGAGAATGGATGTTAAAATCTTATACACACCGTTGAGGCAAGTGATTGGCCGAAAATCTTGGGGGTCCAATCGATCTCCTACTTTTTTGGGAATCAGCACAGTAACGCCCTCACAAAACGTTTTGGGAATGTCTATCTGCCCTGTTATCATTTTTTTATAATTCATTGCAAGTGTTTCATGCAGGCAGGATAGATTCTTTAACCAGTAATTCTGAATTATTATTATTATTATTATTGTGTGTGTGTATGTGTGTGGGTGCAGTGTATTTGTGAGCTTTTAAAATACTAATATGAAAATTTAACCAATCATTACTTCATTTGTATATCTTTTTGAATTGTCTAAAATAGGAAAATACAAAAGGGGAAATTAAGAGAAAAAAAAAAACATTACATCTATTTAATATAACAATGAACGACTAAACTGAATCATTCTAGAATTCTCTAACTCATTCTGCATAGTGTTGCACCAACGGGATAGGTGGAGATATTTTTCCTTTTCTTGGAATGTTAACTGCTCCTATAATGTAAATTAAAAGTTCTATTATAAGATAATTCCATAATTTTATTTATGTTAGACATAAAAAAGTTTAAAATATATGCCTTAATGTACTGCTTTATAATAAAAGCAGGATTTTAGGAACTAGATACTTAAATTATGTTTAATATTGATGTGAAGCATAAAATAAAAATCTAAGAATTAAAAAAATACTTTTTGAGTCGCCTTAATATATTTCAATTCACATTCAAACAAATTATTTCCTTTTTTTTTTAATAGAAAATCACGTATGGAGACAATGGTTTAAGAGTCAAATTTC